CGGTCATTATTAAAGAGTATGCAAATGCAACAAGTCCCGAACCCTATTTATGAGCATCGCATGTCATGCACACGTTATTTGCACAATAGCATTACGTTATTACTTATTATTACGTTGTTACAACTAGAATATTTCCTGTCGACTTGGACGGGGTGCGGATACTACGTGCGAAAGAAGTAAGGTTAAGTAATAATAATAATAATAATAATAATTCATACTCGCTAATGACGAAAAAACCGTTTAGGACGGTGTAAAACTGACGAGTACTCGCGTAATACTCCATAAAACCACCTGTACACGATAGTATAATCAATTACTGTTTTAAACCATTTATATTCGACAAAAAAGTATCGTGTTTAACGTAGTTTTGAGAGGAAAACATACACAACTGAGGTCGATTTTTCTATGTTTCAGACTTACACCATTATGTAGTTGTTCATTTATTGCATTGCGTCCGTCTGTGTTTGATTTCGCAGCAATAAATAATTTCGATAATATCTGTCTATTATTTTCGTCGCGGCAGCCTCGTTTGGTGCGTGTAAAATGTGAAAATAATAAGCGCAGCGTAGAAAAATCGATTTGTTCAAATCACAAAAAAAAATAAGTAAAATTGTGAAACGCTACTAAAATCATAGAGTTCCGTAAGGGTTATTGTGATTTTTTATATAGATATTTTATTTTGAAGATCAAAATTCATATTTTAATATAATGAATACGAGTATTTCGAGTAAATGGTTGTGTACACCAATAATAAAATAATTACTGAATTTAATTAAATTCTTTTTTACGTTGTATATTTACATAGTATTGTTATGAATTTAAATTTTCTTACATCATTCTTCTTAGTAGAACCATTACAGCAGAATCAAATGAACAAATTTAATATAATAACAATATATATATATATATATATCGTATTATATATTATCGGTGTAAGTACACTAGGCTTCCGAATTTGTTTAATTTTTAATTTTTTTTTTTAATATTCGGATTTATTGCTAAGTAGGTTATACATTTGTTCCATTCAAATATGACTTAAAATTTAAACATTTTTAGTAAAACTGTATACAATTTATGGCATTTTTTTCGATTTGATTGCTATTTTGTTGACTTTTCTTATTTATAATATAATTGTAGATGCTTTTAATTATGAATCACATGGTATCATTTTAATAATAATAAATAATATGTATTTAAAAATACTATATATAAACTATTTGTTTATTTATTTATATATTAATAAATAATAATTTATGGTTATTTCGGACTTTGTCAATTGTGATGGCAGTGATGACAATATTATTTGATAAGACGATGCACGAGTTGCACAACTTGCTGTTCTCAAATGGAAGATCTATTTAGTATGAGAACTTACAAAAATGTATTATAATGATGATGACGTATTTTTGATACAGAATTATTTTTAAATCTATACGTTTAATCATTTAAAAAAATTAAAAGTGTATACTTCACATTTTAGTCGTTAACTTACATTTAATTTGTTAACATTTTGAGAAATTCGAAACGGTCGTCCGACACCGGTATGTTAACCGAGTGTCCATAAGAATAATCGTTATAAGCGTACACGTTTATCCTAATGGTAGTACATTAATATCAGTTGGAAGAGGTAAAAAAATACGTCTGCATATTTGTAGAAGTTATTAAAAACGCATTTCCATTTAAATCATTGAAATTTCGGGTTCTCATTTTGTTCACTTATCTCTGGTGATTCAACCGAATACCTCGTGATTAAAATGTACTGCGTGATTACGTAATTAACGACGAACACCGTGAACAAACAATCGCATTTTCGTCTGAAAAAAACATTCAATGATCGGTTCTTTCCGATTGTTCGTTTCGGCGCGTAATGTAACGCGGATGTGTTTTTACCATCAATGGTTCACGAAACGCGTAGTGCGGAACGTGAATGCGACTACTGTGCACCAGTAGCGTATATAGGGGTGGCCTAGTGGACTATAGCCTCTCCCAACCCCTATCGAAATGTTTTAAAATACTTAAAAATGATTTTAAACGTATGTTATATTTTAATGGTGCTTTATGCCGGGCTTACACGGCGCGTAGTATTTGTCATTAGTACTTGTCACTCGCACTCGCACGTTGCGAGTAAACAGAAAAAAGTAGTGCTTAGTATTAGAAAAACCGGGAGTGCGAGTGAATAAAACGCCGTTCTATTTACTAACGACAAGTAGCTACTCCTTCCACGACTCTACTCTACTCGCGGTTGCACTCGCAACGTGTGACCGCTTGATGATTAGTATTAGTGCTTAGTAATATTCGTGTTATCACGTGTACGGCGCATGTTGCACACTGTGAATTATGTTAATTCTTAATTCAACTTCTAGTTCATCTATGGTTGATGAAATTGTTATGTTTGAATTATATTTCAAACTTTGTTTTACGATACGACGACGGTCCATTATATACTTCTTTACGACTTAGTTGATCTTGACGATTAATTTTTTTATATCATAATAATTAATAATATATTATTCACTTCTAATCACACTTACTAACATATTCATATAAATATAGAATTGGCGTTCAAATCGTTTTGGGACACTATGTAAATGAAATGTAGATAAGTACCTATTGTGTCTTGATAGTAATTCTTAGATAGCAGTGTTAATTCTGTCCATAGTAGTCTCTCCCGAAAATGTTTTCTGTATACCGAAACTGCTGTGCACAAAAATGATAAGGTAAAAACATACGTTACGGTTAAACAAAACGGAACGTACGCGACTAAAAACGACGGAAAACCGTTCTCGGCCGCTTAGCAGATATATGTGCACAGGTTTTCTAGAAATATTGTTGTGTCGATGAAAACGGTATACGATTTGGTCTTGCGCTGTAGAAAACGCGTTGCAGGAAACGACGAGTTATTTTACGACGGCACCTGCTCGTGCAGGTTATAATTATTTTCACAGTGCGCATTCGATACATATTGTATCGTACGGACACAATAGCGTTTGTGTACCGTATACAATTCAACAGCAAATCTAATTCCGGTCGTAATACGCGTAAGAAACGTACGACGCCTCGAACGCGTGTGGACATGCGCTACATACACGTACATTGTCGCGTACACCCGTATCGAAATATTTTAATTCACGATCTCACTGGGCATTTGCACACCGGCAAGAGTGCGGACGATTGCGATTATTTAGTCACGCTTTCTCCGCGTCGATCTCTTTTCGTGCCGCTGCAACTGTACACCGCGTCTGAACCGTACGATCTATGTCCCAGTTCCAAATGATAAACGTCGTACCGAATGTGTCTGCAGCACTAGCAGCTTTGCGGAGTTCATGCTCGGGGCCGTGTTTAAGATTTTGCCGCACATCTTCCCTAAAGACAAGTGTCGGCAACTGTTCGTTAAAAAGCCGCTCGCTACGTTCGTAGTTACTTTTCCCCATTTCAGTAGTAAATATATTCCGCGACATTTTTAAACGCGGTACGAGATAGAAAAAAATCATCACTTATGAAATAAATATAAATAATGTGGACGAACGAAATTCGATTTCTAATTCAATCGATCAAATAATTTATTTGAAACGTAAATAATGTACGATGGAGCGAAAGAGAATCCGCGCGCTATGTAAATAGTATGTTCATGATTAGTGTTTGAAAATATCATGAAATTTAAAATTGTGAAATATTTCAGTATTATGATACATTTTTTTTTTTTTAAATAAGTTTTATTTTTACGTATAATTTTCATAATTTACCTTCAAAATTTTATAGTATTAGGAGTATCAATGATTATACCTAGAACTAGAACTTTTAGATTATATAAATAATAATTGTTAACTACCCATAATTAATATTTGAATTAGAAAAAATTATAATTGTTTCACTATATTGTGAAATATTTCATACTTCAAACGCCATTCATGACGATTTCATAATGTGGATTTCAGATTATTCGGTTTTTTTAATATGTACTCGTATTATACATTCCTCCTTTATAATAGCGCTGTTGTGGTTTGCCTATTTTTTTTCCTCGTTTAACTATGATACATGCACGTCGAACGCGTTATTGTTTACTCGTCGGGAAATCATTTAAATCCAATTGATCTCGCTTTACGTAATCATATGTTTTGGTCTTCCCGCTGAGTCGAGGAATGTTTTTTTTTGCGATCTGATGATTTGACTTGCGTGTTCGAGTATATCGACTCAACATATTATTGAGTATTATAATTGTCCGTCGATATCGTCAAAACGAATCGCGCATGCACTTTCTGTGTTCTAACACATTTTTGATTTTCTCGTATATTTTCTACAAATCCATGGATCCAAGTCCGTGGTCTGTTGATAAAATAATATGTCACTTTATTGTTGTTTTACATTCGGTCATCGTGATTATGTTACAGACCGCATTTCCGAAATGAACACGACGAACTGTTTGGAATCGGCGCGAGATCACGGTCAAGACCAGCATGCACCTGCACTGCATCATACATTACACGCGCACACAACCGCGTATATAACCCGTTTGTCGCCGCCTACCTAGCTAACGGCCTCGGCAATGATCGAAACCGACGGAAAAACGCTGTCGAGCATCACGTCGAGTTGATAATACCTCTCCGGATTACGTATGCTTAATGCGGTCATGTCGGGCAGCTGGTCGTATAAACCGAACTCAGTTCAAAAACATCAACATTTTTAATTTAGAAAAGTTTAAAAGTTTAGCTAAAAAAAAAAATTCTATTAAGTTCCAAACCAAATATTATGTTTTTGTCGTATACGGTAACACAACATAAATGTATTAATATATTGTATTGACTATATTATATTGTATTGTATTGTACACTTGTATTCAACGTACGAAAGAACATAGTCTCAACGTCGTACGTCGTTTGCATAACATGAAAGGAAGTGTAACATACCAACTGACGTCAATATGCAAATGTTTCAGAACGAGTATTCAAGTACATTAATTAAACGTTCAACAATAATATTTTCAAACGTAATTGCGACGTTCGTATACAACAATTATTGGTTTTCAACGCATTGAATATGATTTCGCGTCATTACGAGAGAATTGCGTTTTCGGAGTTGTTTAATGTGTCATATTAAAAGAAAATTAATTTCGTTATTTTCTCCGTTTTGAAAGGAAACGTTTCCATATCCGTGTCTGCCATATCGCTCTACTTGTAACAAACGCTCAACACCAACGCAGGTTATTTATTTGATTACCCTATTGTTCACTGGCTTTTATAGTAAACAGTTTTATTTAATATCTATAATGCATTTATTTTTTTTTGATTTTTTTTTTTTTGACATATTTATACAAAAATCAAAGCGTCACATGTGTTATAAGTTTTAGTTTTTATATACATAAATTAATGATAAATAATTATTGATTATTATTAATATTATAAATATTATTCATATTATATGTAGGTATACAAATATTTATTAACTTAATCCATTTATAATTTTTATTGTTGTTCATTTTTTTGAAAAGATAATTGGCCCTACTGAACCAGTTCGTAATAATAATATTCAGAATATCTCATCAGTTTAATCATATTATTAAAAATGAAAAATGCACACGTTATCATTGAATCTACTATATAGTTATAAAATCTGTTGTGAATAATAAGTGTTTTTTATTCAATACTTCTTGGATTAGAATTTTATGATTTTTTTATGAATTAATTTTTTTTTAATGAAGAAATATTCCATATATTTATTTTAGAATACATTTAGCGGTATTTACATACGCCAGTTATACGAGTGCTAATTATCTATTTGATGGCAACGACTGTGTTTCGGAATCATATTTACAATATGTAATTTCACAAAAATTCCAGGAAACAATATTATATATTAAAACTTAATTTATGTGTACGATGATTGCAAATTAACCCTGTAGGGTTGATGGCGACCGTGGAGAGAATTTTTGTTTTTTCCATGCGGTATTTTTAAAACACCAAAGGGGTATAAAGGTGTCAAATATGTATAAAGAAAGAATGAATGGGATAGATTCTCCTCCTCAGAGCTTTATTCAACAAATATTTTTCAATATTATATATTTTATTTTTGTATTGCATACGTTGTTATATATATATATATATATATAAAGTATATTTACTATAAATAAGGACCAGATTTATATTCTCTCAAAATACCTTAAATATGATACTAATATTCTCTAAAAAACCTTCAAATATTCTTATTATATTCTCTTAAAAATCTTAAAAATATGTAAAAATATTCGAAATTATTCAAAAATAATCAACAAACATCAATATATGGTTTAATATGCATTTTTAATTTTTTTTTTTTATAACATTCTTTTAATCACATGAGGTATATACGTAGTTGCGTATTATAATAGAATACTATTGTACTTCAATAAGAGTAGGAATATAGTAAAAATATTACAGTATAGTTTTTAGCAAGGGTCACCAATGTTTTCAAACAAATAAGCTACATTTGACATTTAAGTCCCTAGTGATTGACATCCAGGAAAATTTAGGTGTTTAATCTTTAAATCTAATATTCCCATTATTCAATTAATCTGATTATTTTATGCAATCGACCGATAGTGGTAAAATTGAATTTTACAACGATCGACTGATTGGTGATCCCTGGTCTACATTATTAAAATTTAAAAAACAATATTCCTTTGGTATATTTTAATTAAATGTTGTATTAACACTATTGTCACAATATTAAAAATAACAAATAATCATATATATATATTAAAATATAATAAAACAAAAAAAAAAATTGGTTAACAAAAGGTAATCCTTAAATAATAATAATTTAATACAAGATATAAAATAAAAATATAGGTATATATTATATATATATATATATATATAAAAACAATATTTCTTTGGTGCATACAGTGGTAAATATTTACTTTTTGAAGAATAAAAAAAGAAACTTGAAATACAATTTAAATTTTATTATATGAATTAACAATAATATATTTTACATATTATCTGTACTTATGTTAGTTCTTCTATCGTTTAAAATTTGTTTTTAGAGACTAAATGAACATTCAACATCAACAGATATTAGAGGTGCAAACTTCATGTCAACAACTACATTAGGTGTAAAATATTCTGTGAGAACTTCATTGTTTCTACGTAAATGTTCCAAACTTTTGCTAACATTTGGTAAACTTTATTTTTTTAACTTAATTGAGACACTTTAGTATTTTTATTATGTTATCCGTTTCACCAGGTATATTGGTTAGTTTGCAGATAACAGTTTGTACAACCTCCAACTATAAAAAAAAAATCAAATATTCTAAAATATGCTAAATGGGCTAAATATTTTCAAATATGTAAAAAAACTTTTTCCTACAAACTCAGAATTGAATAAATTGTCCACATTTTTTACTCTCGTACAACTGCATAGACCAAGACGAAACGATATATAAAAACATATAAATCCGGTCTTTAACTATAAGTAATATTTATAATAGTTATAATTTAACAGTAATCTAACTATAACATAAACAATAATTGTTAACATAATTAACATAATTATTATATTCTACATATAATTTAAAGTTTTATTGGAAGTGATATTAAATTTACTGATTCTACTAAACAAATGTAATCTCTTTTTAAAACAAGTTCCACGCCACTAATACCTGTGTATAAAAACAAGAAGTATATAAAACAAAAAATTATAAGTTTCTTAAAGGATTGTAGTTTGGAGTCTAGTCTAGTTTGATTTACTATCCGTATGAACTTCAAGGTCCCATTTCAACAAAATTGTTCCTTTATTCCTTTCTTGTCCTTATTTGTTCATATAATTTTATGAAAAAGAAGCTAATTAGGTAATTTATGATAATAACCAATATCCCTCTCTTGATCTTTAATTGTACTATATTACTATATAAATATACTATATATTTTTATATTTATATTATAAATGCTATATAAACTATAACAATTTCAAACATAATAAGCAAACGACAAAACCAATACCCGACGTGTGAAAAAATTTTCAGGCATGAACCGATACTAATTACAAAGCGATATCCGAAAAAACCGATATTAATCTGGTTTAACTATAAGCATCACAGTCTTGTGCCATTAGCTTTATCATTAACAAACTACACTTTTACAATCCATATTTTAATTTTTTTTTATATCAATAATATTAATATTTTAGGCTGATTCTTTTATTTTTTCATAATGTCGGTTCAAATATCGGTTTCGATAGAAAACCGGTACCCGGTAAAATCGATATCACCTAGCAACGGTTCTAGGGTCGGCCCGCCCCCAGTTATCACGTCGAAGCCTGGCGACGGAACGAGACGCTTGAGAGAATATTTACTTTACTGGCATACGATAAAATATTGAGATTATCGATTGAAAATGCCGAACCGTCAAAAGCGCTCCGGCTGCGTCGCTGGAAAAATGATGGCGGACCGTCAGCAAATCGAGGTGGGAAAGCTCATCAGTAGCTAAGCAACGCCCTCGTCGGGCCGCGGATAGTCACGGCTTTTGGTGGCGGGGTTTGTCGGCGGTGACAGGGTGTGTCGGCGGTAACAGGGTGTGTTGGCGGGCGTCCGTTTATCGACGGGGTGGGCGGGCGATGGCGTCTGCGTGCGACCGGGTGGCGTGGATGGCGATCCTATAAACTCAACGGTTTTCTTAACTTTCGTCCGGACCCGAGGAAAACCGGATCCGAAGAACGTTTCGGATTCGTCACGATCATTTGCGGAATGCCGACCGTCGATGAAAACTATTTACATATATTTTTTGTGTAAAACTGTTGCAGTCGGAATTGTATTCGATCAGCTAAACTACTTCGAAATCAAATAGCTCGCGCGTTCGATAGCCAGTAAAACGGTTTGTAAACGACATAGCTGGTCGCATCCGCGTGCAACATCAATAGTTCAACAATAATCTGATCAGTAACCTAAACAATAATCTAAACAATAGTTTAATAAATACAATTAAATAAACATATCGGGGGAATTATGACGAAAACGATTGTGCGAGTGTGATTATTATCCGTACGTAGAAAACTCTATTCTCACCCGAATTTGTGTAACGATTTATTTTAAAAAATTCAAAATTGGAAATTTCTTTCGAGCATTTCTCACGATGAGACACGAATGGTTCGGCCATCTTGACTTCACTGATTATTAAATCAACGTAATTCACGGTTCTACATTTGACTTTGGCGCTGCAACATGTATATAGGTACAATCATATTTCTAAACAATAATATGAACTTGGCCGCAGTTTACAAAAAAAAATAGTTTAAGTTATCACACTAATAATGATTACGAATAATCGATATATATGAGTACTGACGGTGACAATACAATTTTTTTTAAACACATGCTTCTAATAATAATTATTAATTGAAAGTATATTTTCGATTTAGTGTTTTAATTTATTTATTTTTTATTATATATTTTTAATTACATTTTATGTAAATGGTTTTTTCAAAAGTTTGTATGAACTATTCGTTGGTTTTCGTTTTCGTTAGATCATTTGACAGACACCGGCAAGCTGCAAGTGGACCGTGAGAAGTGTGGTAGATCGCTTACCACACCGATGCCGATAGAAGTCTACCTTATTCGCGACGTGGGTTAATTAAGTCCAGATGCCAAAATGAGTGTACTTGGGTACACTTATTCCATAAGGAAGTTGTTGACAATTCCACGGACTCGGCGTGACGTGTACATCGTTTCATTGTGACCGATGAACATTTTGTTCATGGGGTCGGTAGCAACCAAACACCGGCAACGCGTGACAAACGTGTTAGGGTACGGTCAGACTAGACGTGGCATCGGCCGAATTAACGTTCAGCTGAATATGAGCCAACAAAATTGAAATAAATGAAATTCAAAATTACAGATCACATTATAAGTACACCGATAAATTAGATCATTCACGGCCCTACACGGATGACATAAACGAAATATTTTGTTTTTACCAGCCAATAAACCGAATATTTTAATCTTATGCCAACTATTTATTACACTATTAGTACCGACCTATATTCCTGTAACTTTGGATTTAATGTGAAATATAATAAAATGTATCAGTGGCGTATATAGGTTTTCATTTCGGAAGAGACCGATTATGTATTTGATTTTTGGGTGGAAGAGAAGGAGGAAGCACACTATTACGAAACAAATTACTTTAACATTATAAGACTTATCGGCTGTCTTTACACCATCAGAGAAATAAGAAACTCCATTTTTTTAATGATTTATTATTTTTTAAAAGTATAAAAACTATATTGTAATAAACTAATTTTTTATTAGAGTCACTCAAAATTCACCACATATTTTCTTAAAGGAATAAACATATTTTATAAATATAAAATTTTAAATTATCGCATAAGCAACATTCTCAGTGTCACGACAAATTTTTGGAAACCCACAGTATTAAGACATATCCATGTTAAAAATAACAATCTTTAACAATGGTGTTTTTCACTTCGAAGGGGGCCCGGGCCCCCTCGTCCCCCCCCATAAATACGCCCCTGAAATGTATCAAGAGACATGCCCGTCAAAATATTTAACTGGTCGAATCAAAAGTTTTGGGAAGAGTGTGCGGAATTCTTCAAATATTCCCCCCGCCCACAAAAATATCCACAACCCAAAATGTTTTTTCTTTTTTTTTTTGAGTTAGTAATAAATATTTTTTTTAGTGGAACGGTTTCCAACAAGAACATTTCATCAGCAACGTCCACGGCTGCTTGTTGAACTGCGACCAATGGAAACAAACACGTGCGTACCGTATCCGTTTAGTGAATTCAATCGAAATCGGGTGGTAGCCGATCTTTAGCCGAATTTAGTCTCCGACAATAGTCGAATAGTTCGGCGGAAGCTGTCCGAAAAATATTCAGCCGATATCGGGTGTAGCCTGTGACCGTAGTACTCACTATTGTGCCATACGTGCTCAACAGGTCGTACACAATCACAAGCTCGTGTCGTCAGACGCCATTTTGCTGAGACTTACGATACGCGTGACAAGTCTTGCAACGAGTTCCAACGGTTGTTTAGCGCTTACCGCCGCCATGGTAATGGTGTACACCGCGGGCGGGTTTTTCCTGGTACGTTCGTAAGGTAACGCTTATTACGATGTTTTACGAGTGTGGTAACCTTTTTAATAAATGCACGCGGTTCACGTGAGCTCAGGTTACGCTGCATCACGTTGCTCGGCACCTACGCTCACGGTATGAATAATGATTTTAAATTAGCAGTACCATGTGTCGGAGAGAAAAAAGCGTCGTGACGATTCCTTTTTATTGCAACTTAAACTGTACGATGACTTTTATTGGAACAGATCATTGGTTTGGGCCGATAAACTTTAGCTTTTAAAATCTCTCGTGTATTACGAGTTTGAATGTGCAAAAACGTAGGACTGAGAATTTTAAGATCCAACTTAATGACATATAATAATGAAAAATTATTATTTCAGTCGTTCTGTTATTTCATGTAAATATTTTCACGGATCGGTTTGGAAACATTAGTGTAATTTCAATGCCATATAAATCTTTAAGAAATACATTAACGAAAAAAAACCGTTCTAAATGCATTAATAAGTGTACCAAGAACGCAAATAGCTTTAGAAATGTAGAAAATAAAAAAATATTATACCCATATATTTAGTCATCATGTGTATTTATAATAAATAAAACGTTTTCACTTTTAGTTGAAACAATAATCCAACAAAGCTGACCAGAAGTAATTACTCTAGCACAGTACTTTACTGAAATGACAAAATTCAATAGTAAAAAAAAAAATTTCAAATATTAATATAATAGTGACTTACAATTTTCAAATATAATTATTAAAATAGTTATTTTTACTATAATAAAAATATTATATATGTATTATACATGCATAATATATTTGTAACATATCAAAATGTATATCGTATCACATTAACGAATGATTATTAGTCGGAATGGTATTGTTAAAGTTAAAATGGTTTGAATATTAAACACTGATATTGTCATCTTTTTTTTTTTTTTTTGACTACATTTTAATATGTTAATATCAATGTTTATCGATTAGATTATTGATTTAGATTGTATGCGGGAATATTGTTCATATTTTTACGTCACCCAATAATCTTAATATATCCATTACGATAATGAACAACCATCGTAGACTACAGTAACATCACGATAAATTACGAATACAATGGGTACAGGAAATATTACACGTTTTTCTTGTTTTCATTAATTTTTATTTTTTTAATATACATTTATTGCTATGTTATTGTGGTGTGTAACCTGTCCGGTCGTACCGGTCGCACCCGGTAGTATTTACATTACGTATTTGTACTGCCGCCGTGAACTTGAACACGACAACGTTTTTCGCGGACAACTGCTAAACTAGTTTCGGAAACCATATAGTTGACGTGAATCCTTGGCCGTCAATAAAAGAAACGCGATACGACTGATGTCGATCGTTAATGTTGCCGTCGGACGTCAGCAGTAGGACGGTGGACTAACACGAATTAACCACGAAAAACTACTTCTTCAACGTAATGTTAGACGACGAGGATCTGTTGAACTGTAAAAATAATAAAAACTGTTTGATACGCAGGCAGTTGTAAAAAGTCTGAACGAGAATAATCAAGTAAGTATCCGGGCGTAAGCACTTTATTTCATTGTCCGATTTAATCCGTTTGAAAGACTTTCAATACTTAGGGCTTGAATATTGGATAAAAGTTTCTTTATTAGTTTTTCTTTGTAGTCAATAAAAAAAAATAAAAAAACACCGGAGTCATGAAAAATTGAATGTGCATTAGAATATTGAATTTTAATGAAGATGGATGTCTCAACGAAACTCGTTGAACTATCTGAATATTGATTATTTCATTATTCAAAAATATCAACCTTAGATATTCAAAACATAAACTGGATACTTATATTTAAGCATGAATAACACATATACACTCATAATTTTTTTGTTGAACTATCTTAAGACATAGATACTAGTAACTAGTCATTAGTTTATCTGCTTTTCACTATATAAGTAGTAGTAATATAATTTTTTTAAAACGATGCCTACCTACATGGTTTTTTTTTTTCATATACAAACTTATCACGATTTTAGAACGTTTACATAATATTTCCTTTAATTAACAAATAAACTAGGCATTTTAATTGTTATTTGGTATAACAATTAAAATCCATAAATAAACTCGATAACTTTCCCGACTAGAGTATATACTCAATATAATATGAAATTATATAAATATATGAATAACTCTGAAAAGTATTTTTTGAAATTTTTTTTTCCAGATATCCATCAGATTAATTTCTTCATATACAATTTCATGAGATAGAATGTATGATAATTCGAATAATTTTCAAAAGTATTTTTTTCATCGAAAAATATACTCTAATGTAACAATTCAATCAAATCGTTTTATTTAAAATGTATCCACCCAAAAAGTCGTTAAAAAATAACTTAAACGATAATAGAGGCAAAATCGATTATACATTTATACAATGCATATACGCCGATTAAAATTTGTTATGTTGTATTACGTTAATGTTTGATCTAATGTATTTTTCAAATATTTGAAGAACATCAGAATAATTAGGAAATTACGTACCAGCATGCCGTACATTATAAGTGCACACGGTGAAACCCAAAAACGCAAATTAATTTTGTGCTTTTGTACCTTAGTAGTGCAAAAATAAATATTGCGCCCGTTGCACTATAAGTTTTATTTTAAGATTATTAATAATTAAATTAAATTATTGTTTTTAATAAAATATATAGTATTTTTATAATTCAAAATTACATCAACAGTGATCGAGTTGAAGTTTAGTATTATCGTATCGTATTTTATCGTAACAAATTACGGTGAAGGTTGATAAAACATTGGCAGATTAAACTATTTGAAAATTGTTGGCTTCAAATTTCAAATTTAATATTAAGGTACTCATTATAATTGTATACCTACTACTAATATATAATTTAAAATTAAAATTTTTAATTAATTTTATAATCACTAAAAAATCTTATGGTTTGTTAAAAAGATATTTATTTTTTTGCGCTTATGGACAACAGCCAATGCATGCTTGAAATTATTGTTTTATATATTGTTTTTGATATTTTTTCAAAATTTATTTTCACTAGTTTACGATACGTTTTTAATCAGATATTTATATATGCGTGTTATATATATAATTCTGTGACGGATAGTTCGAAAATAGGTAGTGTATACATTACCCGAGTAAAGTACACCTTATGAACAGTATACTGTATATGATGATAAATAATTATCCTGATAATGTCCACGTTTTCCAGTTTTCTGTGGATAAAGTATGAAAAAAAATCAAACCATATTAGTCTGAAAACAAATTAATTTTTAAGTAGTTTTGGTATTATTAAGTTATTATTTTATATATGAAAAAAATTAAAAAACTAAATATAGTTATTTATTTATAGTTCAAAGTCGGGTGGCATTTGGAGTTGCAAAGTTGCATTTACTTCTAATTTTAAATAATTAAACTTTAATAAGCCGAACAAACGAGCTCGAAAACCGATAACACTGTACTGAAGTTTAAAATGTATTAATCGATACTAATATTGATTAATACATTTTAATGTACACGTTTTATTGTAATGCACAATTTATGTATAATCGTATTTTATTTGATCAAAACCCTTATACGCTCATAGGTAGATAATGTATAAAATAAAAACGTTTTACAAATAATATATTGACTTTATCCAATCGGTACGGGTAGTGTGCACACTACCCGATTTCCCTACCCCTAACCGTAGCATAAATATATTACAGACATCGTCCGTATATTCCGTTTTGACCCCCCCACCCACCCAATAGATCGTCACGTTGCATGGCAATAATTAAAATATTGATGTCGAACATTATGTTGTGTACACCAATACATAACGTGAAATATATTTGATTTGCCATCGAACATACTTTAACGCTATAACGCTCACAAACACACACACATATATTTATTAATATATTTTACACATAGATACGTGATATGTTATCTGCACGTACATCTCTTCTCCTCCTCACTATTTATTTATTCGCGTTTGTAATATATATAAATGTATATCTGATTAAGTTAGGCTAACCTAACCTTGGGCAGTCATTTCTACGGTCGTAAACGTTTTACGGCGCAACGATGCAATCAAACAGTCGCGAACATATATATGAAACATAATAATATTGTGTATAGTGAAGAGTAGGGCTCGGATAATCAAGAAATGACATTTTTCCTTTCAATTGATCCAATTTAATATGGACCTAGATACAAATTCGATTCATGTCTTACTGAATCGAATATTATTATTATTACTTTGGATATTTTATGGTTTTATATTTTTGTGATTTTGAGGATATAAACGCATATTCCAGTACATTTTCAAATTTTTTTAAAAACAATCTAAAATAACGGGTGGATAAAATGATAAATTGTGAACCCGTATAATTGTGTTTGTTCCAAATATTTTTGGATTCAAGTTGGATAAAATGAAAATAACCCATGTAATATTCATATTGTAAATAAGTATTTAATATTAAAAACATACAAAACATAAAAATCAAATAACTATAATAAATTTTACCCAACATATTTTGGTGTGTTTTTTTCGCTAAAATGCATATATTATATTTTTTTGTGCATATTTTGAATGCACATTTGGTAATTTTTTAATGTATAATGCCTATAAATGCCTTCATATTACAGTCATTTTAAGTGCGTAAACATCCGAATCCTAGTGATGAGTATATTACATGTACATTTGTCATCATATACATATAGAAATGTGTAAAACGTTATTAGAATTATCAAATACATATCTGTTAATATATAAACGGTAATATGAATAAAACATGAAATCAAAATGTATCGGGTTAATGTATCCACCAATTTATATTATTAAATTTTCGCCGCAATTGCACTTATGCTCTCTCTCAAACGCTGAATTTAAACAATGATCGCGTTCCATCGACGTATAAATATAAACATACAATATGTTTGCAGTGTTCAAATACTAGTACATTATATAATAATTACAATGATTTAAAATTGTT